CGCCTCCTTTTCTGCTGCGCACGCTTGTCGCGCCTACGCTGGCGTGGATCCAGCCACAACGTATCTTCATCACTATCTGAAACACCTGGCTCCTGGCCAATCTCAGAAACACCTGGCTCCTGGTCAATCTCTTCTCCATCGGGAGACACCTGAGGCATTGCCAGAGAGGAGGGTCCTGGAGAGGGAGGCCTGGCCATCTCCTCTCCTTCATGTTCGGAGCCTTCTTCTTCCGATAAGAGGGGCTCACAAGATGGAGCCACAACACAAACCGCTTGCTAGAAGATATCCCTTCAATTTGACTTTGTTTTTTCTCTAGGCCTTTCCTTTTGTTACTCGTTTGGATGGTGTTTCTTAGAGAGTTTGCTCTTGATATTCTGGTCTCAGGAGTGAATTTATGAGGATGAAATTAGTTTGACAGATTTAGTGCAGTAATAACCCAGAGAAAGCTGCCATTCATGAGGCCAGGACATCAATATTTTTGCTATGCTCTTTTGCATATTCCCCCCCACCCCATCTTATTCTCCTCCCCCCTAAGCACTATCAGTGCTTAGTTCATGGCACTTCCTTTCTATTCCCAATCCCTCATGAAGCAACTTGAAACTGACACTTAAAATGCCAGGCCAGCTGTAGTTTAAAGTAACCAATAGGTGCTAAGCAGATATCAATCCATGATTTTTGTTCAAACATCTTAGAAGCAAAGTTGTGTCATGAGAAAAGGGGAAATATTACATTTTAAGTTGAAACCGATCAATATAAAATTAAACTGGACTGGATATGAAAGACATGAGTTTTAAAAATTGTTAGTAGGTCTTCTTGATGGGAATGTTATGGGAATGTGAGGGTGAGACTTAAAGAGATGGAAATTCTATTTAATTAGAAGCAGTGAAACCTAAGATGCATATGAATACAATATGGCTTTATTCAAATTACCTTCACAATTCTTTGCAATGACCTCTTATAAGCCCTGGCAAGAATGTCTACCACATCCTGTTCTGACTTAAGAGTGCCTAGAATTATGTGGGGCCAATACAGGTAGTCCTCAACTTACGTCCACAATTAAGCCCAACATTTATGTTAAGTGAGACACTTGTTAAGTGAGTTTGCCCCATTTTATGACCTTTCTTGCCACAGTTGTTAAGTGTATCACTGCAATTGTTAAATTAGTAACAGTTGTTAAGTGAATCTGGCTTCTCCATTGATTTTGCTTGTCAAAAGGTTGAAAAAGTTGGTCACATGACCTTGGAACACAGCAACGGTCATAAGTATGAACCAATTGCCAAGCATCTGAATTTTGATCACATGATCATGGGGATGCTATAAAGATCCTAAGTGTGAAAAATGGTCATAAGTCTCTTTTTTCAGTGCCGTTGTAACTTTGAATAGTCCCTAAAAGAACTGTTGTAAGTTGAGGATTACCTGTACTCAAAATACATTTAGTATCCCCTGAAAATGCTCCAATGTGGATACATAACAGCAAAGAGAAACAGGATACCAGAATCCCCAAGCTCTGGGACTGCTGCATGAGGCTCTTACTCTAAAAAAAAAACAACCCTGTAAAACACAGCATAGAGCAATGAATAATACTGAAACTGAGTTCTGAAACTAAAACTGAGAAACAATCTACCGGTATGCTGAAATCTGTATTTTAATTTCAAAAGAAAGTGGTTTCCACCAAAAGAAGGTTCTGTTTTCTTCCTCATTCTCATAATGCTTTTGAGCGTCTTTTAGTTATGTTTTGGCATGTATTTTATTCTTGTTAAGTGCAATGGCTATTTTCTGTTGCTTGTCTTTCAATCACTATACAGCCTCTTGGGCCGCTCATACATCCTTATCTGAAAAGATTGCATGAAAAAAGTTAGGACATAATTCCTAGCTTTGAAATTTAATTATAAAGTGGGGATGGGGAGAGAAAGCTACATCTCACTGAAAACAAAAAATTAGCAGTGGAAAACAGGACAATCACAGACAACATTAGTCAACCTGAAATTAAAGAAATTGCCAGATCACAATCTCACTCTTGTGAGAATTTTGGTGAAAGGTTTATTCTTCTTTGGAAAAAAAGAAAATAATTTCTTACCGATCAAATTCAACGGGAATAGGAAAATGACATCAGAAAATATTTATGATATAGCATACCCATAAAGCATAGAACAAATGAATTGGCATCAAGAAGGAATCTCACCAGATTTTCTGACACTTGATTTAATTGCTTATGTATTGCCCAGATCAAAATCTCACATATAGGGAGAAGCCCTTATCACATATTCTATTAGCTGATTTCAGAAAGCTAAATTTTTAAACTCTGGCGAATTCCTGGACATGTCCATGTTTTCTTTGGTATTCCATTTTCTTTTTTTATGATGTTTTTCCAGTTTCCCAATCCTTTATTATTCCTGGAAGATTCCTATCCAAATAAAAATGAAGCCAGATAGTCCTTTTTAAGATTTAAATATAACACACACAAAAATAACAGGTCCTTGGGAAGCAGTCAATAGGTGGATAAAAATTCTAAATTTAGCCTAAATATCTGGCTGTGACCAAATATTAATAATTAAAATTTAGATCACCTGACTGTCATATGACCCTGGGTGGTTTACAGTTTTAAATGTCTATGGAGATTCTCAGTTATGCAGGTCATGGTTGTCCCAAAGGTGCTTTTTCAAGAGGCAACTGGACTTTCTTGTTTTTCTTTGAAAAAAACATTTACCAGCAAAGATGGGAAAGAAAAAAAAACTAAAACAAATCAAGGAAGCCCTCAGAACGTGTGGCTATCCCAACTGGGCCTTCATCAAATCCCAAAACAGACCCAGCAGGAGTTCCTCCATAACAGACAAGGAAAAGAACAATAAACAAAGCAACGTTGTCATTCCATACGTTGCAGGAATATCTGAAAAGCTCAGGAGGGTCTTCAGCCAACACAACATATGTGCACCCTTTAAACCCAAGAATACATTAAGGCAGAAGCTTGTCCACCCCAAGGATAAAACACCCAGACACAAACTAAGCAACAAGGTATATGCAGTACAATGTAGTGAGACGTGCAGATCTGAACATTGAGGAAGCAAAACAACTACTTCACAAACGCATGGCACAACATAGGAGAACAAACCCATAATGACAAGATTTAGGAATCCATCTGCATTTAAAAGACAAGGGCTACTCTTTTGAAGATAGCAAACTCTTTTGAAGACAGCGCATTTTGGACAGAGAGAACTGCTGGTTTGAAAGAGGGGTCAAATGCCTTGACTGATTCCTTTCATAATGTTTTTCATTTCAAAAGGAATGAACTTACTCATTATATATTTTATATCAATTTACTCATAGCACATTTTGACTGTCTTTTGAAATCTGCTTTTTCACAAGTTCCATCTTCATACAGCTGACATGACTGGACACTCTGATCTCTGTGCAGTCATATTCACTACTTGTTCTCTAGCTGTCTATCAGTTCATGTCATCAACAGACATTGTTCAGAAAACTAAACCTTTCTGTAAGGCCTTTCTCATCACACTGTTCAACTGCGCAGCCAAGGTATCAATATAATCACCAACTAACAGAGTCACAATCACAGTAACTGTGAGAGAGACCTTGGAGTCCTAATGGACGATCACTTAACCATGAACCAGCAGTGTGCAGCAGCAGCCGAAAAAGCTAATACAATCCTGGGCTATATAAACAGAGGCATAGAATCAAGATCAGTGGTATTAGCAGGGCTTTTTTTTCTCATAGAACGCCCAGAACGGAGTTCCGGCACCTTTTTTGGATGGAACCTTGTAGGGTAGGCAAGGTGAGTTGTTTGATGTGTGTGAGTTCCGGCACCTTTTTTTTAAAGAAAAAAAGCACTGGGTATTAGTACCACTTTATAAAATCTTAGTGAGACCACACCTGAAATACTGCAGCCAATTTTGGTCACCATATCACAAAAAAGATGTTGAGAGTTTGGAAAAAATTCAGAGAAGAGCAACTAAGATGATCAAAGGCCTGGAGACTAAAACATACGAAGAACAGCTGCAGGACTTGGGTTTGGTTAGTCTAAAGAAAAGAAGAAATAGGGGAGACATGATAGCAGTATTCCAGTATTTGAGGGGCTGCCACAAAGAAGAGGGGGTCACGTTATTCACCA